AAATGCAAGTAAATAGGTACCGCTCCGGCGGGAAGGTGAACGGCGTTTCCGTGCGCTGCTCTGGTTCGCCAGAAGCGGCTTAGTCATGCTGGCCACATGACCTGGAAGCTGTACGCTGGCTCCCTTGGCCAATAAAGCGAGATGAGCACCGCAACCCCAGAGTCGGTCACGACTGGACCTAATGGTCAGGGGTCCCTTTACCTTTACGCACATGTCAATTTAACCATCAAGATGTATGATGGGAAAATGTGTAAATAATACCTCAAATGACAAGATTCTGCTCTCTGCTAGCTGACTGCTATTCCGTAGGTTGATCCATCCATCCCACAGCCAGCAGTAATTGCTAGGATGCTAACAGCTGTTCCTCTGATATGTTTTCCACCTTTTGAAACACAGGACCCACCTTCAACATATATATACATTTGGGGACCTGTTCCTATATGGTCTTTTAACCATACATTTGCTTGCTGGTAGTGCTGCTGTTATGCCACACCTTAGATCAGGCCACGACCCAGGCTGTACTGGGTCCCAGTTGAAGACGGTAGGAAGTTTAACCTGCTTGCCCCATCAGAGGCAGGCTCCTGTCCCCATGCAAGTTCCATGGCAGGCAACTATGCAGCAGGTGTAGATGTATCTAGTATGGTGCTGGTTCCAGAAGGGAACCTGCACATGCTCCTCTGCTCATTTGTTGAGTTACACTGCTGGTGTGACGGCTTGGCAACACCACACATGTGTGTTTCCTTTTCAGGCATCCTCAGTTTAGTGTTTCCCCAACTTGGGTCTCTCTCCAGCTGTTTTTGAACTACAATTCCCATCAATCCTGACCACTGGTCCTGCTAGCTAGGGATGATGGGAGTTGTAGTCCAAAATCAGCTGGAGACTTAAGTTCGGGAAACACTGTCCTAGATGCTATTCATTCCCAGCCACCTTTTGTTTTGTTTTCCGTTCTAGGGATTGGAAGATAGGATTCAACTGTCCCCACCCTAGCTTTATCTGCCTTCAGCTAGCCACAGGATGGGACTCAGGGGAGGAAAGCAGGAAGTTTGGGGAGTTCACAATGTGTGGCTCCTCCTATCTCTGATCACTGTAGTGTAAGGAAGCAGCCTCTCAGGCTGCAGGAGGACGGGTGGACCAATGGAGTTAGGGCACTCTAGCATCATGCTGTGCTGCAGGGATCTGTGCTGAGGGCACATCTCCATTGTTGTGAGTTTCACTGGCATGTAGGGTCATTGCTGACACAGCCCCAACTGATGGGAAATGGCCATGTTCCAGGGAGGCTGGAGATGCACCTGTCATTTTCACCCCACTTTTCTATTGCCTACTCATGCGTACAGTATTTCCCCTCTTGAGCTAAGCGCACACGAGATATTGGCCTTCTACCAGCATAGCAGCAACCTCCCCCCTCCTGGTTTAGGATTATGTTGCCTGACAAGCAGGTGCCTGAGAATATATTTTACTGTAAAAAAAACAAAACAAAAAAAACTTTTTAAAAAAATATATATAGTGCAGCCATTGGAATATTTATTGTCGTAAAGCACAGGATCTGAAACTATAGAATACTTTGATTAATTTAAAGTGACTACGTTTACAGTCTCTGTACAGTACAGCTGTAAGCAGCTCTAACTTCCCTGTTTCCTGCCCAGAAAATGTATTAGGTAACAATTCATCAACCTTAAATACAAGCTTTAAAGAGGAAAGCAAATTCAAATCCTGCCTCAGTTAAGCACACCTGCACATTAAGATCAATCATAAAAAACGATCGCAGTGTCAGTTGTAAAAATGCTATCCAGAATAAAACGGATGGTGCCCAATCTAGTATTTCTTGCAAAACTACTTTAAAGAGATAACTTGGGGGGGGGGTGTAATTATGTAACACATTTCCTTAAGACGGTTCATAATTAGAATCAAGAGCACCCTCATTACCTGCAGGCTAATCAATGTGCATACAGGCAGCTGACATGAATAAATGTAATATATGAAGTTTTCCCCATCTCTTCATCTCTAGTACAAGGGGGAAAACACAACTTCACCAGTTAAATTTCTGATTGTGAAGCTGCGGTTAGCGGCACAGGAGCCTTACCTCCCGTAAGCTGGCAACCATAGTCTGATGTGATGTTTGAATGCTGCAGAAAGAAGCACCTTACCCGTTAATTGTGACCAACAAGATTAACATGTGAAAAACGCTATTCACAAATATGTACAATGTTATGCAGGGGGGGTGGAGGATGGAAGACTAAAAATACACCACTTAGTTTAGAAAATATCTATTCACGGGTTACAAGAACAAAGGTTTAAAGGAGTTTGTAAATCCTATACCTTTCTACACATACATTGATTTTTTAAAAAACCTTATAAATGTGCATTTAAAACTGCATTTCTATCTTTCACACATGCAGGTGGCACAAAGGGAACATGTGAAACCAGCACATGGGCGAATACATACATAACATTTTAAGTGCACTCAACAATGGGGTTCCATTCCAATGCATCTGTTTCAAAGCAGCAAATGTGTACTCAAACCACATCTACTGCATTTACAGTGCAGTAAACTTTTCATTTCATTTCAACTTTGCTCAGAAGTAAAGCTCACTGATTTATGTGTGTTTCCTTACAGCTGTGCATAGAACTGCAGCCTTAAGCTCTGTTTTCACTCTTAGGCTGTTCACGACACTCGAGTTTCAAGTTATAATGTGGCATTTGATTTCTGAAAATGACAAGTGTTAGGGCTTACTAAGGAGACATGCATGGAAGTAGTTCACCTGCAATTGCCGTTTAGCTAGGTGTGACCTGGTCTCTTTGAGCTTGGACACCGAAGCAGGGACAAAGCTTCAAACTACAACCCACTCACTTTGGAGTAGTTCAATTGATTTCAATGAACACTACATTACTAATACCAGAGTGTATGTGTTCTCAACATTTTGGGAGGAAGATGGGTAGGAACTGCCAGTGTTAATAAAGGCATTATCACTGTATTTTTCTGTAATTCATTTCCCCCCGACCTCACTGTCTACAATCTCCACTTCTACCTGCAACTCAGGATAACACTTCATGCATCTGGTGAAGTGGACTGCAGTCCAAGGAAGTTTATGCCATGATAAATGTGTTGATCTTTTAACATCTTTTTAATTCAGGTAGCTAGACTGGTGACTGGGAGCGGCCACTGGGACCATATAACACCAGTCCTAAAGGATCTACATTGGCTCCTGGTATGTTTCCGAGCACAATTCAAAGTGTTGGTGGTGACCTTTAAAGCCCTAAACAGCCTCGACCTAGTATACCTGAGGGAGCATCTCCACCCCCATCGTTCAGCCCGGACACTGAGGTCCAGAGCTGAGGGCCTTCTGGCGGTTCCCTCACTGCAAGAAGTGAAGTTACACAGAACCAGGCAGAGGGCCTTCTCAGGAGTGGTGTCTGCCCTGGGGGGCGGGTATGAATAATAAAAAATATTATTGTTGTTGTTATAAGATGCCACAAGAACCTTTGCCTCCGAAGTAATCCTTCTAAAGTCTGCGCAGGCTGCAATCCTACACGAACACTTCCTTGGGAGCATGCCCCGCAGACCTCGATGGGACTTACTTACTCCTGAGCACAGGCATCCATAGGACTGCGCTGTCAGCACGTGAACGCATCGGCAGTGTCTGTGTCTGCGTGCGTGGTGCAGAACAAGCCCCCACCGCCAGGCATGGGCAAGGCTCGCAATTGCGCTTGTGCAATCCCTCACCTTTTTCCTTCTTCTTTTCCCCTCCCCCAGCAGGACTCCCGGCGCCACCTGCCTGTCTCGCGCGCAGCCACGCGCCACGCCCGCTCCTTCCTTTCTCTCTCTGCCAGCCAAGAGGCGCGTGGCGTTTCCTTTCCCCCACCCAAGAGCAAATCCAAGTTCAAAAAAAAGGGGGGGGAGGGGAAGGGTGCAGGTGGGAGGGACGGACGGAGGGGCGGGGGGGAGAAAGGTGACTTTGGCAAACAGAAAGAAGTTGCTGCGCAGTCCCGGGTGAATCTGATGAAACGCAACCCGTCTGCGCGTTTTGACGGTCGGAAGCGGTTTTGTTTAGGGGGCTTACTTCAAGTACGGTACAGTGGTACCTCGGGTTACATACGCTTCAGGTTACAGACTCCGCTAACCCAGAAATAGTGCTTCAGGTTAAGAACTTTGCTTCAGGATGAGAACAGAAATCGTGCTCCGGCGGCGCGGCAGCAGCGGGAGGCCCCATTAGCTAAAGTGGTGCTTCAGGTTAAGAACAGTTTCAGGTTAAGAACGAACCTCCGGAACAAATTAAGTACTTAACCCAAGGTACCACTGTACTAACAATAAGGCACAGGATTTCAGTCTCCTTGTGACCTAGGGCACCAAAGCAGGGTTTAAACCCTCAGGCAAGCTGCACCTCCATGATTTCTCGCATTTTCACCCAGTAAATGTGCTGCAGAGACTTGCACCTGGGCGCACTGCAAAAGCTGGCCATTTTACGCACGCTTACCAGGGCTCAAGTCCCCTCCCGCTCAGTGGCGCAAGGTAGCGCTATCTGCGCACTTACTTGGACGGGACGGTCGCCACAGGCGCTTTCCTTCGAGCGAGCCCTGGGCGTCAATGGTGGCTGGAGAAAGGGCGGGAAAGCCTTCGTCAGGAGACGCCGCCTATTTGTTTTGCTTTTTCGGGGAAGGGGTGGCGACGAGCTCCTAGCGCGGGTGGGTGTAACCGAGGAGGCGCGGGCTGAAAGTGGACTTTGGCGGGAGAAATCGGGCCACCTCCTTCTCCCCCAACCTAGGGCGGGAGCTTAAGCACAACCGTTTGCAAGAGGAGGAGGAGGAGGACCGCGAAAAGGTCACGCCGACGCGGCTCCTGGTTAGAGAAAAAAAAAGCCCTCCAGCTTGGAGCTAGACGCCGGGTATTCCGCGGCGCGCGTAGGGTTAAAGACGCCGGCCGCCGGAGCTCCGCCTCCGCCGACGCCGCGCGCGCCCGACGGCGGGCTCTGGCGAAGCTGCTGCTGCTGCCCCTCCTCCGCGGGGTCGGCGGGAGGCAGCGGCGCGCTCCCTTCCCTCTCGGCCTCCCGCTCCGGCAGGTGTCTGGGCCTGCCTGACCGCGAAAGCGGAGCAACCCCCCTCCCCCTGCGGCTTTTTCGTAATTATTATTATTATTTTAGCGTTGCGCAGCAGTTGGTTCTCTTCCCAGTTTCTCTCTCTCTCTCGGTGACCCCGTCGCAGCCTTTCTGGGGAGGAACCAGGGAGAAGAGAAGGGAGGTTAAGGGGGAAGGACGGGATGAACGGCGCCGGCGCTTGCTACGGGGAGCGAGTCAGGCACATCCATATATGTGTGTGTGTGTGTGTGTGTGTGTGTGTACACACACATATATTTGTATATATTTATACATATCCTTGTTCTCCCCCCCTTTACTCCCCCCCTTTCCCCTCTATCATTTTCAATAAAATATTGATATTATCCTTTCCCTTTTCTTTTCCCCCCTGAGAAGATTGCTGAAGAGTTATTTCCACCATCCCATTCCCCTTCAGAAATGTAGAAATCTAACTGCGGTTCTCACCATGGGAAACCACTGGCATGCACAAACAGGACTCGTAAGACTTCGGTAAATGCTTGCACGAGTGTGGCTCAAAACACACCCACAACCCACAGCACAGTGAACCTGCTTTCTTCAAGGGATGTGGTCCTACAAAGGCAGTCAACTTCCATTTAAAACCAGTGGGACTGATGAATGAACCAGTTAAGGAATGCCATGTAGCCTCCCTCCCAGCAATGAGATATAATTTTTAGCAATAAATGGGCTGTATGTACTTGTAGTCCCTTGTGCTCACCCAGTACAGAACTTGCCTGTTGTTGTTAGCCGCCCTGAGCCTGGCTTTGGCTGGGGAGGGCGGGATATAAATAAAATTTATTATTATTATTATTATTAAGAGGTGGTGGTTTTCTCTTGAGAACTTGCCTGTTACAGACATCTGCTTGGAACCCATTAATTGCTTCCTGCAGATGGCAATGACCTTGTCAATAGTTAGGCTTTCAGGCCGTGTCACGTGCCTGCCCTGTTCTAAATGTACTGTACATCTGAAAGTGTAAAGTCTAAGTGTGACAGATGTATATCACAAATACAGATGCACTCGTCAGGGAGACAGGTTTGGCTGCGGCTTCTTGTTTGCACAGTTGGCAGGCCCAAATGAAACAGCTCTGAGATTGCACGTCACGGGCCTGGAAAGGCACTGCGAGTCTGTGCCAACGACTTGCGGTAATGGAAAAGGCTGTCTTCTTTGCAGCTGTGCTAGGCATGAAACAGTTAAAAGGCACAGCGATTGTAGCTTTTGGTGCATGCAAAAAGTCCCATCCCTGGCATGTCCCAGTAGGACTGGGATTGAAATCCTAGATAAACCACCTCAGGGTCAATCTGGACAGTAATGAGCTGGATGGGTTAATGGTGCGACTGTAGAAGGCAGCTCCTTAACCATGTGAGCCTTGGGTATGTTTCAAAAAAGTTTGAACAGGAGATCAAAGAACTATAGAACTGTCAAGTTGGAAGGGACTCCAAGGCTCATCTATTATTATTATTTTCAAAAAAAATTATTGGCTTTCACAAAATTAAAAAACACACAAATAAACAAACATAAATCATAACCTTATTAAAACTAATCTTCTTAACATTGTTAAGAAGGCTCATCTAGTCTCACCCCCTGGAAGGCAGTAATCTTTGTTCCAGTGTGGGACTTGAACCCACATCCCTAATATTAAGAGTCTCATGCTCTACCGACTGAGCAATCCCCTGGATCCTTGGTAAGCTTGCAAAAGGGTTATGAGAAACAAGTATTAGAGGACAATCAACAGGAGTGATTTGCACATCACACACTGCATTTATCATGGGTGCCTAGCCTGCAAAACATGGGGTATCTCTTAACATTCTCTGCAAAAGCGAACGGTGATGCTCGCTCCCAGCTACGTATATCATATAGGAATGCGTATCAGGCAACTGGGATGAGTTGCAGCTCCATGCCTCATAGCTGTCCCCACAGTATCTTGCCTGAGGCCACATCACCCATGAAACCACTGGGAAAGTTCTGAACTGCCGACTTCCTGGGTCACAGCTGACAATCTTGCACTGCGATCCTTTACTCAGCTGTAAGTGTAACTGTATTCAGTGGGAGCACATCCTCAGGCTGGTGTGCATAGTTCCTTAAACCATATAATACCATAAAACCAGTCCGATGGGAGTTCCGGGCCATTTCTTCATCTCTATGGGTGCAATCCTATTCACTTACCTGAGAGTGAGCCTCACTTAGTCCCATGTATAGAGCTGCACTGTAAATCAAATATAAGGCTTGGGGCCTTATTATGAGATACTTCTGGGGTCATCAGCAGGGCTGTGGTGCTTATATCCAGTGCTTTTTTCCCTAGAAAAATAGGTGCCGGAACTCACCATGAAGTTGTTACAGTAAGTGCCACACAAAAAGAGGTGCCAGTACTGCGTACCCTTGCGTACCCCCTGGGGGAGCCCTGCTTGTATCTACCCAGAATTACTGAATGACCAGGTAAAGGTAAAGGGACCCCTGACCATTAGGTCCAGTCGTGACCGACTCTGGGGTTGCGGCGCTCATTTTGCTCTATAGGCCAAGGGAGCCGGCGTTTGTCCGCAGACAGCTTCCGGGTCATGTGGGCAGCATGACTAAGCCGCCGTTTACTTTCCCGCCGGAGCGGTACCTATTTATCTACTTGCACTTTGCCATGCTTTCGAACTGCTAGGTTGGCAGGAGCAGGGACCGAGCAATGGGAGCTCACCCCGTTGCGGGGATTCGAACCGCCAACCTTCTGATCGGCAAGTCCTGGGCTCTGTGGTTTAACCCACAGCGCCACCCGCGTCCCTACTGAATGACCAGAGTTAGGATAAAAAGCTTGCACTCTTAGTGCTGGGATGTGGGACCTATGGCTCTTCCAATGGCAATGGTCAGTGGTGGAAGTTGTGGTGCAGCAAGCACGACAATGGTGGCCTATTAGCTGTTGTTTTATTTTGTTTTGGAAGTTCTATGATCCTTTGCTTCTATGAACGGAATCTATGTGTTTTTTTTAATTATGGAGGAGCAGAGGTTCCCTATATCCCTGCTTTCAATGCACAATAAAGCAGACCCACTTGGCCCCTCGACCCACCCACCCCTGCCAAGTTTTCCAAATGAGCAAGACGGGGGTCAAAGGGTGTGCTGTATTAAGTGCTTGGAACTTTGGGATTTGCCAGCATTTCAGCAAAGAGCAGGAAGGAGGAAGAATGAAGGGCAGTGGTCTGACTCATATGGTCACTAGAGACATTACCAGAGCATAGCAAGGGAAAAGGTGTGTGACGTTGATTGAAATGGAACCAACAGTTTGGTGTCTAGCCACAGTAACAATTGTATGTTTTTATGGGGAATTATGGGTGTGACCCCAGGCATCTGTTGGATAAGGAATGTGACTTTTTATCCCAGATCTATATAATATAGAAGTGGGGTGTGGGAACGCTGGAATTTTTGAAGAATACTGATAATGTCACAATCAGTCTTACAGAAATTTAAGCTGAACAACGCAATCATATTCTTAATTATTCCCACTGTGTACTTGCTGTAAGATCAAGCAGGCGGAGAGAGGCATTCTGGAGCCAGCAATTTCTAGCATCTTCTCTTTTATATTGTAATTTATAAGTTCCAATGCTTTGCACAAAACGCAGTAAAAACAACAACCCAAAAACCTAAATTTCCCACACTATGGTAATATTTCGAGCTAACTTCCAACTGTTCGAAGTTGTGTGTAGGTGTATGGTGTTTCCCCTCAAGAATATATTTATATATAAAAAAGCCTTTGGAGTTCAGTCAGAAGCATACAGCTTTATGCTGTTCAATAAATCATGGGGGGAAATAATACATTGTCTTAGTTACATCTGAATTTTCCCACGTTTACTTACTTTTCTGCAGAAGAGGCTCAGCACTGCCCCCTAGTGTTCTGTTTTCCATGACATACTTCATTTATTAGGAAGAAATATAACCAAAAGCGAAAATGTGCAATTTTATACCCCAGTGTATGGATCTTTACAAAACCCTTGTGGAGTAAGTTATCGGAGGATGGTGACCAGAATGCCCAGTTCTTTTAAAAAATATGTTTGTTTGTTTTTAAATGATACCTTCCGTTGTCTTTCACCATTAGTTTTTGACACACCTTAGGTATTTTGAGCCTCCCTTCAAAATAAAAAGAGTTTATAATTTTATCACATGAACAAAGAACAAAACAAACTTAGTGTTATACATAAGTGCCTGTTTTGCTCTGTACTGTTAAAAATATGTGTTTGAATTTGCTAATTTTAACTGTTACAGTACCCTGCTTACAGTTTATGATACATGGTTGACACAGTTCTGAAGATAAAGACAAAGCATTGATTTCATATGGAAACATTTATCATGGTATCAGGCTATAAGGGTTAGGGGGGGGAAATCACCAATGGTTTCGTTCAGCTTTGTCACTCTATTTTCCAGAATGTATATGTGCTTACATTGATGATGCAGCACGTAGTGCAGTTTGAGCACTCCAGAAGCAAGTAGACCAGGAGATACAAGGGGCTTCAAAGGAGAAGCTGTGAAGAAAGGGAAATTTGGAAAGTCTCGTGCAAAAGCTCCTCGACCTGCTTTCAGCACCTGTCTTTACTTTGCTGCCAGTTACACCTGCCACAACTTGTAAGCGGCTCCTTTTAGGATATGCTTTCTTCAATGCACTCTGGGGAAAGTGAACTTTGGGGCCTCCTGTAGCACACATCCTACAGCTTCTCCTGCTGTTGCTTTTGTGTGGTTGGGGCTGATTTTTGCAGGTTCTGCCCTCTCTGAGAGTTCTGATTAGCTCTACCCAGACACTAATGCTGATTGCTTTGCTTTCTGTAATTTGGGTGAAGGGAAGAAATCTGGGCACGCTCAGAAATGTGCCTGGAGGACCCTAACATTCAGGTGGGTTGCTTTCTGTTCCCCTCCACCTGAAGCAGACACTTCTCCTGCCCCTCTCAACTCTACATTTTCTCTCTCCAAAATACCAAACGCGGCACAACAAATCTAAACAGAGATTAACCTTAAATTAGTATTATGTGTAAGTTAGTTATTATTGCAGGCTGACACTCGTTCACATCAGTGGCAAATAAGCATCATCAAACTCAGGGTTACTGCAGCCACACCATGGTATAAAATTAGAGTATTCTGCTGGAGACATGAACAGATACAGAGCATTTTGCTGGTGTGAAGAATGTGCGTGCTCATGCTACTGCACTGGCAACAGCTACCAGAATCGGTACACCATAGCAGCTTAAGTGCTGTTATATGACGCTGAAAGCTGCGGCTGGTATGTAGAGATTGGGGGCAGGACTGGAAACAGCACTGTTCCTCTAACCTCATTTCTGATATATAGTATTTGTAGTAAGAAATTATAGCATAACAGAAGAAGACAGATGTGTTTTGGTTGACTCACATGGGATGTGGCTGTGCTTTTCTCCATATAAGGGTCTAACTAAATATTACATGCACGTGCATATAATAAAACCCTTCTGGCCTGCTTCTACATTGCAAAACGGTATTGGGGGTGGTGGTGGAGGAAAGTTGCAGTGGAACACAGTAGAGGGAAGGGGTGATGCTTTAATGCTTTCCCACTTCCTACTTATCCCCTTCTCCCCAGCCATATAAGCTTCCAGGTCTTTTTACAAGATTAAGAAGTCACCACGTGAAGTTTGGCACATCAAGGGAGCTGAGTTTTTTTATTGATTCCCAGTGCCCACTTGTGGAGTGTTCATGTGCAACGCAGACTGTGAAAATCTGGAGCTGATCCCTACCCAGAAATGGCATCCTATGCTTGAGGCTTTTGTAAAGGTGCTGGGATGTATACATTACCAAATAACATTGGCCGTGTTCAGTTACGTGTATAGTACCTCTGGTTACAGACGCTTGAGGTTACAGACTCCGCTAACCCAGAAATAGTACCTCGGGTTAAGAACTTTGCTTCAGGATGAGAACACAAATCATGCGGCGGCGGCAGCAGGAGGCCCCATTAGCTAAAGTGGTACCTCAGGTTAAGAACAGTTTCAGGTTAAGAACGGACCTCCAGAACGAATTAAGCTCTTAACCCGAGGTACCACTCTGTGTGTGTGTGTGTGTGTGTGTGTGTGTGTATATAACATACACAACAAACAATAACAAGCATTTCATTCTGAATATTAAAATGGATTAAGCTCCTCTATACGTACTCAAATTGTGTACTCCACCAGTTAATATAATCTCAATGTAATGCCACTTGTGCAAATAGATTTCTACTATATTTTGTTCAGTGAATGTAAAGCCAGAAAATAAAGTGCTTCTGTTAATTACAGAGCCTGATCCCATACACACAAGTCCCACGTGAATGGGGCTTACTTTCAATTAGATGCACAGGGCTATAACACTGCACAGCAAGGTAATGTGTATTAACAGTGAACAATGTTAGCTGCTTTCTTAATCCATTAATATCATATAGTCTCCTTGCCTACCACTGCATTTGCAGTGCTGGGGTTGGGGGGCTTGCAACAGTTTAAACAACAGAAGTTCAGCAAATCAATCAACAGCAACAGAGACCAGTAGTAAAAAGAGAAACAAGGTGCAGAAATAAAACAAATCAAAATAGGGGGTCTATTAGGATCTTAACAGTGTATTTATTATCACTGCTATCAGGCTGGGCTGAGTAAATTGAAAATGATGATCAGATGCTGCCAGCACTTTTTGAGAAATGGATGACATAACTAGATATTGGCTGGCTTGGATAGGCAACAATTTATCCAGATATTCTCTGCATACAAAGTTTTCCCTGTCTAAGATACAAATGTTATTGACTAATCTGAAACCGAAAAGGCAAGATCTTGTTTAGAAAAGGAGCCACATTTAGGCAGTAAATCAAACATTAATAGTTTTTAAATGTTCTTGCCACTGAAGAAGTGATGTATTAAGAGCATTTGAATTTAGCTTCGAACTGTTCCTTTCACAGCTCTCTTACTGAAGTGATATTTTCAGTAATTGCATTGCAGTTAGGCAGGCTGCTTATCCTAATCTGTAGTAATTGTTGCAGCAGAGGTAGGAGCTTGCGTTGTCACCTATACTATAGTTATCTTATCCATCTGGGACTTAGGGGTGTTAGTGCATGTGACACAGATTTTGTGCCAGTTCACGTTGACTGAATGTATGTTTCTGGGATCAAAACTACTGTAAATGTTGGTTTTGACTTGTGAAATCCTAAAAGGTTTAGGAGCAAGTTATCTGCACCCTTTGGAGCCTGTTTGAACACTGAGATCTGCCTTTTTTTTTAAAGGCCTGCCAGTGAGATTGGTTCGGTTGGTGGGCATGAATGAGGATGCTTCCTCAACCTCGGTCCTCCAGATGTTTTGAGACTACAATTCCCATCATCCCTGACCACTGGTCCTGCTAGCTAGGGATCATGGGAGTTGTAGGCCAAAAACATCTGGAGGGCTAAGGCTGAGGAAGCCTGCCCTGGGTTACGTAACTACTCCCCTGCTGAGTTGGAACAAACTCTACATTATCAGCTTTAAAAACATACTTACTTAGGAAGGCCTAAATATTATTTTAAGTGGGGTGTATGGGGTATTCGGGGAGGTGTAGTACCTCTGGTTGGGAACACATTGTGCTCCTTCTGGGGTAGTTCGCCCACCTTTTGTCCTCCCCCTGGGAGCTCTCACCTCTGGCTCCTAGAACAAATTAGCATGTGACAGCAGCCACACTCTGGGAACAGCTTCGACTGGCTGGCTAAACCAAGTAATGGGGTCTCAAACCCTCAGTGAGTTAGGGACTTCCCCTGCATGTGAAGACAGGCTCTAGTGGATTGAGCAGACAAGACCAATATTGGCTGCAACGGTCAATAATGTGGTTCCTGCATGTGCTGTAGAGGGAGGTGAGGGGCAAATGATGCTCATCAACCTGGGAAGGTAGCTCATGTAGGAGAAGGAAAACTCTGATGCTTGGGAGAAGAAAAGGCTAAGGAGTAAACCCTACATAAATACAGAGTGGAATCCCTAAGATGGTTGGATGGCACCTAGTATGCCTCCTTCCAGCAACTTCCTGCAGCCGAGCTGATGCCAAATATATTGCTCTGCTTTTCTTTCATCAGCAAAACCGAGAGGGAGGTCTTGTCTCCTGGGCAGCCCAGGACCTCCATGCACACTGCCCAGGCTTGTGCCCTGGAGAGGACCCTTCGGTGCTGCTAACCGAGTTTCAAGTTACCGGTCTCTGCAGCCACAACAGGCCCTTTAAATTCTCCAGTGGTTTGACTTTGTCCCTGGAGGTGCACTCCATTGTCTTTTGAGACAGATGGATACCAACAATATTTTAAGTTATTCAGCTGTCTTAAAAATGTTTTAATGCTGTGGGGTATCAAAGCCTATGCTTTTATTCTTGTTTGTAGTTTAGCTGGCTCATGTTGCAGTTTTTTATGCTGCTGCATAACTCAGGTTTTTTTGTGTGTGTTACAGCATTTTGTTATTCTGCTGTAAGTTGCCTTGTGTGGGTTATGCCCCAAATGTGACCTATAGACATGTTTATAAATGAATAAAACTATTGTATGACTGTCTTTACACAGTGTCATGCTAAAGCACATCAGAATCAGTTGCTACCGCCGCCTTCTTCTCATGGTGAGATTGGCACCTGGTGTCATTTTTTATATTTTTGTGTATGGGCCCTTAAGCCCAGTTCAAGGCACTATAGACCTAAAGTGCTATATCATTAGGAACAGTAAAACTCTGTCCTAAGATTTACGTCATAGTTACATACCTAGGATTGGACATCCGTGCCACCGCTGAGTCACAAAACAACATCCCAGCCGTGTCCAGCGATACTCAACTTCCTGGGGTTTCAGGCAGGATCTGGAGAGGTTGGATACTGAACCTGGGACACAAAACATGCATTCCACCACTGATGTGTGAATTTCGCTTCAAATACTTGTTGCTATTTTATGTGATTTGTTTAAGATGGGATGTTCACTAAATCAAATCTGCAACTGTGTGGATTTCTGAATTTACACTTTCCAACCGTATTTGAGATGTCCCCTAAGGTATTAGGGGGCCTTCTGGTGGTTCCCTCGCTATGAGAAGCCAAGTTACAGGGAACTAGGCAGAGGGCCTTCTTGGTAGTTGCACCCGCCCTGTGGAACGCCCTCCCACCAGATGTCAAAGAGAAAAATAACTACCAAACTTTTAGAAGACATCTGAAGGCAGCCCTGTTTAGGGAAACTTTTAATGTTTAATAGGTTATTGTATTTTAGTGTTCTGTTGGAAGCCGCCCAGAGTGGCTGGGGAAACCCAGCCAGATGGGCGGGGTATAAATAATAAATTATCATCCTCATCATCCTCATCTCTGTTAAGGGTACAGTCCCTATGCACTCTTCAGTGCTCTGTGTTCATGATTAACAGTGCATGCTTAAACTGGAAAAGAACAAGACCATCACTAGAACCATCCTGTTAGGAACCTAAACCAGTTTTGGGACCTGCCTGCTCTATTATTATTACTATTATTATTATTAACCACCCTTCATCCCTAGATCTCAGGGCAGTTCACAACATAGGAGTCCTGTTTGTTCACTCCAGCATATCTGTAACACACCAATTTTGAGGAGTGCAGAGTATTTGGGAGATAAGTTTGGACTGCTTTTGTTTGATTGTACTTTTTTGTCCTCAATTCATTTCCCCCCCTACATTGTCATCAAGTGGCATGTAATTTATTGTGAAGGTTCTCCTTTTTTTGTCTCAGCACCTACTGGGGATGAAGCAATGACTTGATGGGTGCTGTAGAACCTGTTTCACTTCTGACAGTACTGTTGGATAAGAAGGGGAAAGTCTGTGAGCTATTTATTGTTTGTTTTAAAATTACTGTTTTCCATTTTCACAGGCATTAGGATTTGAGAGTTGGGCAACTCAATGAATCATAGACAAAGTATGCCATTGTAAACAATGTACCTGAGTGTATTAACGAAGGGGGGGGGCCGGAGACAAGCATCCAATTTATAGCCTTTATTTGTTCTGCAAACCATTCGTTGACCAGTCTATTTGCCACCAGCTCACCAGAGCTTTCCAGAGGAGGAGCTCCTCACGGAGGCTTTTTTCGCCTCCTCCCTCCAAGAGAAACTGAAGGGGGCGAGGAGGGAGAGAGGAAGACTTGGCATGCTACTTAATGCAAATCATCCAAGATTACAAGAAATCATATGCAGGAGAGTGAACCTTATCCACCCGCCTGCATGGCGAACAACGTGGGCTGGTTGGCAGTCAGGATATCCACGGTAGCAGCTCCTAAAGGCAAAGCAACACAGCGGTGTAATTTACAGCCACAAAAAAACTCTCCTTTGCACCTTCTTCCCAAATAAGTATGTAGAAGCTGCGCTACTGTGCGAAAACTACTAATGTGGGCCGTGGTAGCCCCAATCATACAAACCAGTAGGCCATATGTTTTCTACTGGAAAAGGCAGAATCGAATAGAAAGCAGTGAAGAGCGCGTTGCGGGGCGGGAGCGAAGTTTGTGTGTTTAATCTGTATAGATAAAAGGAAGAAATTAAGCAAAAGCACGTGCTGGATTCTTCTCCCATCCCCCACCCCGTTTCCTCCTCTCAACGAGGAGACGCTCCCAAGGAGTCGCCTTTCCCTTTACGCGGAAGTCCACGCTTCCAATGCATCGCCCGCCCCCTCCCCCCTCCCCCTCCCCCTTCTCTGCTAACATAACGGGCAGAGCTCATCTCCCTCCCTCCCTCCTTCCACCCCCAGAGTGTAGTAACACACGGACGCCCGCCCCGCTCCCTCCTTTCCGCTCGCGAGCGCGCCAGCGCGCACACGCATTCACACGTGCACACGCACTTTCCTCTCCACGCCCCCCTCCCCCGCCGCCCCAGGCCCGCCGCCCTTTTCGCCCTCACACGCGCACACGCGATGAAGTAGGAGGAGAAATGCAAACGCAAAAAAGGGAGGAGAGGTGGGGGGAAAAGAGAGAGAAAAAGAAAAACCAGAAATCTCAGCTGCACTTCTGGCCCTTTTAAAAAGTTTGTGTAAATTGGAATGAGGTCAGATTTGGAGCTTCTCATTGCACGCGGTGATTATTGTTACATTGGGTTCCAAGCCAATGGGAGCCGAGAGGGTGGGGTTTGGCACGGCGGAGCGTTGGATACAGCCTGCGATTGGCTGGACAAATGACTGTGAAAGGATAAAGGGGCGCGAGGCGGAATTGGGGTCCGCTCTAAGCTGCAGCCAGAGTAACCGTCTAAGAGAGGGGGGCGGTGCGAAAAAGCAGGCCACTTGCATCGCCCCGGTTTGTACATGTCTCTTTCCTCTCTTTGGGGCTGTGCATCCAAAGGAAGGCGAGACGGGACTAAATACATTGATTGCACCAGTCACCGCGCTTCCTCCCGGGAAGACACACATTTGTTAACGCTACTTGGTTGCATGCGCGGGGCCGCCTAATCCCTCGCAGCCACTGAATGCCCGTCGAACAAACTCCTGCTCCCTTCTACCACGAGTCCTGGACGGACTGAGGAAGATTTTCATTTTCTTTTCTTTTTTCCTTTGCTTTGTGGGAGGCGGCCTTTTTTTTTTTAAGAGGTATTTTTGGTTTTTTGCTGTGCCCTTCCAAGAAAACGAGAGACTTTCAGCAGTGGGCGTGCTGCTTTGCTGAAACACCTCGAGCAGGGAGAGGAGAGGGAGAAAGAAAGACGGAGCGAGCAAAGCACTTGTAAACTCCGGGGTGGGGGAAGAGGTGGAAGAGAGAGAGGCGAGAGACCTTGGATTGGCGGTTGGCGGCGTTAAAAAAAGAAACTGTTTCTGCTTGGAGCCCGGCTTCTGTAACTAGACCCCCGGCGCAAAGTTGCGGCGGAAAGGCGGGCAGAAAGTCTGCCGGGCAGAGGAGGAGGAGAGCGGTGTGGAGCTACAACTACTTCCCAGAGGGAACCGTGCCTTAAGTAGCCGAAGGACGGCGCGCTCGCCGAGGGGGCTGCCGAGCGACGGGGAAAGTTGAGCGCCCGGTTCCAAGCTGGTGCCAAACTGAGCGCCGCCGCTTCCCCCGACAGCCGCCGCTGCTGCGCGCGCGAGCCGCCGAGATGGTGCAGCAGACGAACAACGCGGAGAACACGGAGGCGCTCCTGGCCGGCGAGAGCTCCGACTCCGGGGCCAGCGTGGAGCTGGGCATCGCCTCTTCGCCGACGCCGGGCTCGACGGCATCGACGGGCGGCAAAGCGGACGACCCGAGCTGGTGCAAGACGCCCAGCGGGCACATCAAGCGGCCCATGAACGCCTTCATGGTGTGGTCCCAGATCGAGCGGCGGAAGATCATGGAGCAGTCGCCCGACATGCACAACGCCGAGATCTCGAAGCGCCTGGGCAAGCGCTGGAAGCTGCTCAAGGACAGCGACAAGATCCCCTTCATCCGGGAGGCGGAGCGGCTGCGCCTCAAGCACATGGCCGACTACCCCGACTACAAGTACCGGCCCAGGAAGAAGGTGAAGTCGGGCGCCAGCGCCTCCAAGCCGGGCGAGAAGAGCGGGGGCGGAGGGAGCGGCGGCGGCGGCGGCGGCGGGAACAGCAGCAGCAGCTCAGGAGGAGCCGCCTCCGCTGCCAACTCCTCCAAAGTCGCCCTGAAAAAGGGCAGCAGCGCCGCCGCCAAGCTCTCGTCGGGTGGCGCCGGCGCGGGCAAGCCGCATCCCAAGCTCAGCCTGGGTGGCGGCGGCAGCAGCAGCAAAGGCGCGCCTCCGTTCGCCGCCTCGGAGCAGCCGGCCGCCCTGCTGCCCCCGGAGCACCACTCTCTGTACAAATCGCGCGCCGCCTCGCCGGGCTCCTCCTCGCCCTCGGGCGGCGGCAGCGCCAGGCACCTCCCGGAGAAGAAGGCCAAGCGCCTCTACCTCTTCTCGCACGCTTCGCCCGGCGGCGCCGTGCCGGCGAGCCCCACGCTGAGCTCGTCGACGGAAGCCAGCGACCCACTGAGCCTCTACGACGAAGCGGGCGCCGCCGCGGGGGCCCCGCACGACGGCGCCGAGCCCTTGGCTTCGCCCTGCTCGCCGTCCGACCACCGCAGCTACACCAGCCTGCGGGCGCCCTGCTCGCCTGCCCCGTCCACCTCGCGCTCGTCGTCGTCGGGCTCCTCCTCCGCCTCGTGCGCTTCCTCCTCCTCGGACGACGAGTTCGAAGACGACCTGTTGGACCTGCACCCCAGCCCGGGCTTCGACGGCATGGCCCTGGGCAGCCTGAGCTCCTCGGTGCTCGACCGGGACCTGGATTTTAACTTGGAGCCCGGCTCGGGCTCCCACTTTGACTTCCCGGACTATTGCACCCCGGAGGTAAGTGAGATGATCTCGGGGGACTGGCTCGAATCCAGCATTTCGAACCTGGTCTTCACGTACTGAAGGGGTCGAAGGTGGAGACAGAGAGAGAGAGAAAGAAAGAAAAATAAGTGGGGCGCATGGATGGCACACAGACCCCATTGCGCCCTGCAGACTGGAGGAACGAGAATTTTGCCCTCTGAGTGTTCTTCCCCCACCCCTAATGAATCTGACTTGGGGGGGTGTGTTGTGTGTATTTTTAAAAAATATATAGATACGGAACTTGGCAAAAGGGATCAACCTTTTTTCTTCTTCTTCTTGGAGAAAAAGCGACCGCAGGAGTCCGATTTCTGGCTAAACAGATCCTCACACAGAAACACCCTCTCCTCTTCTCCCGCCCCCACGCTTCATCCTTCCAACAGCCGGAGAAGGAGTTCCACGTTTCAGAGACTATAGCGAGAATCAAGTGGCTAAAACAAGAATGGCAACGACTTGCGGGGGGGGGGGAGGGGGGCTGGAAGTCACGCACATCTAAGGTTTGTTTCTTGTCCATGAGTTTTGAAAGGGGTGGGGAGCAGATTGTGCTTTGGAGATCTCTTTTGGGGTGCGGGTGGGCGGGCTAGGGTTTCCCGGGGGGTGGGGTGGGGGAAATAATGTTTCAAACAAATCAGCAGGACTTGCAATTGCCGGGGGTGGGGAAGAATCCTAGTTTGCGTTTTTTGGGGGAATGGGGGTGTTCTCTTTCGCCTCGAGAGCAGATGGGGTTAGAGAGAGAGAGAGGCCCTAGGAACTGGACTTGGCACCCCGAGTGGGATGGAAAAGAGGGGAGACGTTTAAAAGGAACTGGAAGCTCTGCTAAGAAGATAATAATAAAGCTGAAAAGGATTTGCACGTATAAAGGAGGTGGCACCGATTTTCTTAAGTCACCTTATATTATATACAGAGAAGTCAGTATGTGTGGAATTTCAACAACTCTGAACTTTTGTTTAGAAAAAAGAAATGGAGACAGATATAGAACATACCAAGTTTCTGTAATGATGTGGTACAGGGGGAAATAGAGGGCAGTTGCTCTTGTTTTTTTTTTGCGAAAGTGTGTTTTCTTGCTCAGAATCGTGATGGTGTTGGATTATTTCACTGGTGGGGTTTAATATAGCATGTTATCCTATCTTTCTGAGGTTTCTGTAAGACTGTTGAACAGTTTAAAAGAATAGTGTTAGAATAATATAAGAAGCAGATAGATGGCGCTATGTTTGATTCCTACAAAATTATCACCAGCTTTTTTCATTCTTAACTCTTTAAAGGATTCAAACGCAACTCAAATCTGTGCTGGACTTAAAAAAAATGAAATTCAGGACCAAATTTTTCCTCAGTGTCTGTATGTGTGTGTGTGTGCGTGTGTGTTCTCCTTTATAGCTGTAAATGAAGTCTCTTTTCTTTTCACACCCATGATCCATCCTTGAAACATTATTATTTTTCCTTGTAAATGTAATTTGATGCCATTTTATAAGTGAAGTATTTATACTGGCCAAACATTTTTTTTACCTGTATTACTTTGTCCTATTTTTTATTTTGGTAGTTTCGTTGTTACCCACACCATTTTTATGTCACCTTCACTGAAGGGCTAGAGTTTTAACTTTTAATTTTTTATATTTAAATGTAGACTTTTGACACTTTTAAAAACAAGAGAAGAGAGATGAAAACGTTTGATTATTTTCTCAGTGTATTTTTGTAAAAAATATATAAGGGGTGTAAATTGCTGTTTTGGATTTCCTGATTATAACAGGGCTGCTGGTTAATCTCTCACACACAAAAAATCAGCCCCTACTTTCCTCATGTTTACACTCCAATCTGCAGGCTTCTTAAAGAGACAGCATCCCTTGCTATTCCACTCTACTTGTGAGTTGAGAGAGAGGGATTGTATTAATTCACTGTAGGGCTAACTTCTAACAAATAAATAAGCAAACCCTCTCAAAGTAAATAGTATGTTGTACAGAAACAACTGGAGCATTTTCAAGAGAGAAAAAAGGGATCCTGTAGCTTTAACTTTTAAACCACATCTTTTGCACTTTTTTATAAGCAACAAAATAAAATAAAAAACCGTGCCGTTTAAAAATCACTGGATCTATCTAAATGCCGATTTGAGTTCGC